GCAACGCCGCAATGGGAATAGGTATACGAGCTTACATATCTACCTGTTTCTTTATTACTGACCACCATTACTCAGGTTGTAACCTACATAATGCTAATTATATGCGTAAATGTACCACCGCCTACTCGGACTGTAACCTAAGCCTCTTCCCTTTCTGCCTACCTACTCTATCCTCCACTCTTATCAAGTCCATGTGTTTCGCTCTATACTTAGCGTGCTCTCGGCTGAGTTAGACTAATTTGAAAACACATGTGGCTGGCTGGTTTTGAGTCGCTCTGCATTGTGTAACATGCACCTATGAGAAGAATATCGATCCTACTTGATCCTACCTCATCTACCAATCCGCTGCGTAAGAGAAGCAAAGAGAAACAACACGAAATCCAATAATATCTTAAGTATATCAACTTAGGCATTAGGCACGATGAAAATATCGCAAGGATGGGATTGGATGACTAATAAACAAGGCCTGCGCGATAACTGAACATCAAACTAGGTAACTAACTAACTAAGTAACTAACTAACTAAGTAACTAACTAACTAGTTAACCACTACATATGAGAATATCCTTCGTATACCAGTATTGTTTTCCCCGTTAGATTGGAGGCTGAGAACAGTTGAGCGAGCGAGACAGCTTCTATCACCAACCACATTATGTTTCACTTCAATGAAAACGGATCATGTATCGTGTCTTGTACATAAGAATATGACAGAGAGAGAGGTTGGCTGAGTTATGATGTTGGGCATTCTCGAATTGCGCGTTGTGGCGCAAGGGCATATATTGTTCCCTTTCTTCTTGATGGTTTCGACTAACGTTACTTCGTAGAAACAAGTGTGCCCAACTGGTATATATCCATGTATGTTACTTTTAATAATTTTGATTCAAGTTTCGGAAGTATCCAAACCTACGCCTTGTTGGTGTATGCGCTTATCTCCAACAAATACTTCGTATGTATACGCATGAATAGAAAAATGGGCCAACTACGATCAGCCCCAGTAATAATAGCCGTTTCTAGTAATTATAGCGTTAATGTTCATTTAGCCCAAGCCGAAACTATCGACATTGATTAATATAGAAAGAGAAGAAGAAAAACTTGCAGCAATCGGACCCCATGTAATCAAATGACAGAGATGGAAAAATTCATAGAGTATCTTTATGGGTATATTAAAATTAATAAATCAACTTCCATAGGTTCGTTCAATCTTTTAATTGAGCATCTACTTGATCACAAATCTTTTAAGTCTCGAGTTGAGTAGTGGGGGTGCGTCGCAGGAAGTTTGAAAAAGTCGGCGAATGATACTAGTAATAGAGGCAAAGGGCCAAGAAGAATGCAACGTGGACACGGTTGACGCTGCATATGTCTAAACTAGACTCTATCCCTCTCTCCCTCTCAGTAATCGATGTGCCTGATAGGGGTATGATGCTACACAGAATCTTACGCCATCATGTCATCATTCAGCTCTCTGCCGATAAAAGCATTACGTGCTCGTGCGACAAAGTCCGGTTGATTTTAACTGAGTGGGTGAGTGAATGATTGAATCGAGCGATGCAAGCAAATGCATATTCCGCCAGATTGAACTATTAGGTATTCTCGGTCTGGCCGAGGAAACACAAGCATAAATAAAGCAGAACAAGGTGCCGCCAGCATGTAATAATTTAAAACTCAATAACCCCTCCCAAACTGCCTAAAAAGCCTTGCCTCGAAAGTATGGATGTGCCAAGATTACGTGCTACCTCTTTCTTGCGGATTCGAGTTTCATACATACAATTCGGAATCATTAGTCATAAACCCATTATTAATACAGCTGAATAATCTAGGGTTAAGCTATTGTTACAGTTGAGCTGTGAAGGTAGTCTCATCTCTCTTATAAGACAAAGTTGTCGACTGAATTCCTTTATTAAAGGGAGAGGATTAAAAAAGCAGCAAGGCCAAGACCTTCATTGTTCTCTTTATGTAGGGCATCCCTGTTTAAAGCCGGCTGAACTTACCAGTCCGGAAGACATTTTTTGCCTACTTCGGTATGTACATTCGTACCTACTTAGCCTACTGAATTTTTAGGATCATGTGATATTCCTATAAATCTTATTGATAAACTCTTACATCCGTCCACTCACGTGCCATGTTGTTGTTGCCGGCTACATTCAATTTTCATGATGATGATGGTAATGGTGATGATGATGACAGCGAGGCGCTAGACCGGTCTCCCTGCGCAAGACCAAGAGAGAGAAATCATGCTATATTGTAGGACGGGAACGCATTGTGCAACTTTCTTCTCGTGATCCAACAGGTGAGACAGGATAGATACATCCCTACCGACACCAAAGTATCACAAGAACCCAACCTACAAACCTGCAACAGTTTGATACTATGTTTTCTCTCTCATCTCTTTACTGTCTAGTTTCGGACAATGTTGCTCCAATTAATACATGATCGTGCCACGTTCGCAGCTGTGTTACAGTGCCATTAGAGCAAAGTTGTCGCGAAGCTTCAAGAGCCATTTTCTCTCTTCGAAGTTGCTCCACTTCATTTCCCCCCACGTCCGTAGAATCCTCGGACTTTGAGTTTACCTACATGAGGTAAATGGGTAGCGACATATATGGATCTATTAACGCATGTTGTTTAACTAGCAAACATAGACTACCTACGTAGGTAAGGTGTATGGCCTTACACCTTGAGTGCTGTATTCGAGCTTGTCTCATCAATAAGCACAATGACCTTATCACTCGGGATAGACAACCAATCAGAAACAATATGATGGACTTTAAAAGACGAAGGCATCATTTTTGGGATTGTCAGTACCATCCTACATTTAACTAACTTGCTTGTCTTGGATACTATAAAGAAGGGGAATACTGAATCATGATGGTAACCTAGGTGGTTACGCGTCCTTTCTTGTGTGACAGAACTAAAAGGAATGCTATTAAGAGTAGCAGGTTAGTTACGCTTATAACGATAGACCCAACACAGAGAAAGAAGCTCTCACGTAGTTGTTCTTTATGTAACACCGTTGGAGAGAATCCCAGAATATCAGGGTAAATAGGGGTGTGAATAGACATCATCCACTCATCGTCGTAGCTAGAGATTATTTGTGGGAGACTAAACGTGCCATGCTTGCGAGGTGCACTTCTCAGACATCTAATAAATCCCAAGAATCGTAAACATCACTTCCCCCGTCCTCTTCCTCTCCCCCTCCCACCACCCCGTCCACCCCTCTTCCCCTTCCCACCTCGTCCACCGCCCCCGATCCTCTCATAGAGCCTCTCCTCGCCGAACGCCATCTCGCCGAACCTAACATAGCTGATGAGCCCGCGATCCACGACCGCAACGACCGCGTTCCGCCACGCGTGCTTCAGGCGGCGGTACATTTGGCCCTGCCCGCCGTCCCGGTCCGGCGGGTCCCAGGGCGTGCGGCGCTCCAGCAGCGCGGCCATCTGCTCCAGCGAGGGCACGGCGGAGGCGCGCGCGTCCGCGACGGCGATGCGGAAGTCGGGGGCCGGGGGCTTGGTCTTCGGGAAGGCGGCGCTGCTCTTCCAGACGTAGAAGTGGATGACGAACGGTTCCTGCGGTGGTGGGGTGGACGCCTGGGGTTGCGGCGTGGGCGCGTGGCGCGGGATCAGGGCGAGCTGCGTGAAGATCGGGGTGTAGGACCGGTAGAGGCCCGGCTTGACTAGGGGTCCGTAGGGTGGTGGGTGCTGCCGCGAGGTGCTGGGGAAGAGGGAGAAGAGCCATTGCCATAACGTCTGCGATGGTGGTTTCCCGGGGATGGGTGGTGGTAGTGGCATTGATGTTGCTCTCATGATCTTGTAGCCTGTTCTTCGGAGGTTGGCGTAGACTTGGTATTTCTCAAGGCTGACTTTGCCTCTTTCCCCGTCCTCGCCGATGAGGAGCGAGTATGCGGCTTGGAGGCTAAGCGGTATCCCGAGCTCGTAGTCCTCGGAATCCTTGGCTTCATCCTTGGTTTCGTTCTGGCCGTCTTTCACCGGGAAAACGTCCTCGATCCCTCGCGCAGGCCACCAAAGGTCCAGCGATCCCCGCTCGACAAGGTACAATGCTTCCTCCGGCAACAACCACGTCTTGAGCCAGCCGGTCGTCATTTTGTACCCCTCGAGCCCCGTGACCACTCTTCCCATATTCTGACTTAGGGGTCCCTTGATCTCCTCCTCAACAGCTACGACCCTCTCCCTGGCAAACAGGCCCGCGCCCTTCTCGCCTTCCCTCTCCTCCTCGGCGGGCGCATCAACCCACTTATCCGGGAAATACCAGCCGCGGTTGTAGTCCCGAGGCCGGTGCGAGCGCGTGTAGCTCAGCACGTCGTGCATGGCCCCGCGGCTAGCCTCTAGAGCGCCCTCTTGTGCGCGCGTTCCATGAGCCTCGAAGTCCTTCTCTCCGCGCCGCAACGTCTTCCCGGAGGCCTGTTTCTTGTCGAATAACGAGGCGAAGAGCCGAAAATCCTGTGTCTCATCCCCGAGCGCATCCTCGAGGGAAGGGGCCTCATCTGCGCCGCCTTGATCCCCAGTTGTGAGTGTTGATGCCGATGTTGGCTTGGGGTCTTCGTCATCGAACGGCATTATTATGAATGTTATGAGATGTGAATCATAAAAGCCGGCGACCTAGAGACTGCTGTGATGGATAGTAAAAGTAGTAAAACCTTTATCACTGTGGATATAACATGAGTTAGTGATGAGAGTAAAGGAACGTGTTATAGATTTTGAATCAACCACAAGTCAAACATCCAGTTAAAATTACAACAAAGTGTGAGTGTATTTCGTTGAGTATCAAAAGTTGAGATGTTTGGATTGAATTTACTTTGATGATACTACGATACTAGCAGCTTAGGTTGGTAGAGACCCACTCGCGATGCATCTAAATTTGCAGTTCAAGCCGCAGAGCTAAAGCAGGCAACCAGCCAATCAACATAGCTCTTACCCCTCCCCTCTGCGTAAGTCTGAGGGAATTATAAGCTACAATAATTGACACTCTTTCAACAATCCAGCATTGACAGGGAGTTTGGCCGAGTGGTTAAGGCGTCGTGTTTAGGTCTTTCAATATAAATTGGAACACTTGTAACCGCGATGGGAAACCGCGCAGGTTCGAATCCTGCAGCTCTCATTTTTGCTTGATAACAATCTTTCGCCAGTATCATTTTCATACCTATCAAGATAGGATAGTTGGTTAGAATCTTTTTGTTTTTAGTCCGTATATGAGAATCAGATCTTTCGGGGCTATTATTTCCATCTTTTACAATCTGACTTGTGAAGGAAAGTGGGGTAGAAACACAATATTGCACATGTGTGTACGAAGTATGCATGAGTCTTTACTATCAGGGGACAATCATCGCTGCTTCTTCTCTAATACATCTATCCATCAATATTCTTGGATACAGCCACCAATGGACGTAGACATAGATTAGGTAGGCAGAGAGACAGATAATCTGAACAATCATTTTAGCATTTTGGAACCCAGGCGGCCCAGGTAAGTATCAGGCTAGCAAGCTATTTGCTTTCGGTAGACAAAGTTGCTCCACTACCGTTGCTAAAATTTCCAATTACGTGAACGATGAATGGTACTGGCGTACGCAAAGTACTTCCAAGTTGTGTTGCGATTTCGGAATGCCTCATCATACCCGATTTCCCCCAGTCATATCCGCGCGCGCCTGTCTAGAGCGAAAATCGTTACGACAAGTTACAACATATGTACACAAAAATATGATTTCAACAATCAATCCCAACATCCAGAGATCTGATGACCTGTGAAATATAGTCATGTTTTCTTTTCACTTGGTAGTCTTGGGTATCGACGATGCGAAATTTATTCATTGTTGCATCTTCTTTAGACATAGCCAGGTCTTGATGTGCGTGAGTGACCCATCAGCCATAGCACATGGCAGTGCTCCTCAAAGAGGCTCTGGAAAATAAAGTCGACAACGCCTAGGCAACTAGTGAACTCTCCTTAAACACCCGGCATGAGATGCGTTGGTATCCCGGTCTCCGATCTTGTGCCGTCCTTTGGGAATATCCCGTAACCGTAACGCCGTAAAGCCCGCCGTGACAGCTTATTCTTAAATGTCCGTCAAGCACGCGGAGTCAATTCCAACAAAACCCACGGGTCCAATGAACTCCAATGCCAATGCTTGCATCCTAGCCCTGAAAATTCCCCAGTGATTATGATTAACGAATTATCCTACCTGCAAGCTGCCTAGCTGACCACCTAGGCAGCTGGGAGGTGTGATTGTACGTCTCGTGTTGCCGCATCAGCTGAAAGGTTACGAAAACCGAGCCAGGGTTGATGTATTAACCTCTACTTCCCCCGACAAGTGATATGCCCGAGTCGTTAGGAGGTCTATGGATCCGTACAAAACCCCATCCTGCTACTCGTCTTAAGGTGGTGGTGCTTCAAATCTCGTCCGTATTTTGGTCATTTAATATGTCAGCGAATCGACGAAGTTGCGACCCTTCGGATGCACGGAAGCTCTTAGGTGAGATATACATTCCCGATGGCTTCGAAGTCGATAGAACGATAAACAGAGTGCACGAAAATCAGTAGTAGCACATACCCATTATTTCGATTCGAGCAGCCATGATACCTCAAAGATATTCGTCATGCGATAGATGAAGATAAGCGTCCCCGCCCTATCCTGGTTGAGTCGAGTGTTCTCATTCAATCAACGGTTTCTTCGTCCCTCCTACTAGGCAAAATCCTAATGTCGCTAAAGCATTGGTATCGTTGGCCAAGACAATGTTCCTCGCCGGCAGCATTGGGTTGTTCTGGTCGACGGAGGAAGCGTCTTTCGCAGCTTGCTCGATAGCATCCATTTCTTCTTTACATGCTTGGTGGTCTAACGGACATATGACGATAGGTTGCCGAAGGATGATATCGCGAGCCGATGTCAACTGCGCCTGCGATTTGAAAACTGTTAGTGCTAATTCGCGAAATAATCCATTCAATGCCCTGGTTATATTCAAATGTATATATACCTTGATGCTTAAGTAGAACTCAATCTTGTAGAGGGTAGATGTAGTTGTAAATGAAGTGACCTCGTAATTCGGGAAGCCTGGTTGTCCTCTTCGAATGATACCGTTCGCGTCTCTCAGATCCTTATGAGGAAATATTATTCCCATATTGGTCACAAAACCGGCTTCTGGTAATTTCGTTCCGATGTTCTGAGTATACTTCTGCAGCCTATTAACTTTCTTGGTCGGCTCGTCCCCTTCGGGATTATAAGTGATCTCCTCCTCGATCGCAAGCGTTATCTTCTGTATGGTAACCTTCCTCGCCTTCGCCATCCAATCCAGATTTGGCGCTAGCTTGATATATACGGTGATTGGGTCCATGGGCCCGTAGCTCCATCTCGGAAGCGAAATGCCGAGCGTGACTATGTTGTCGGTGGTCGCAACCTTGTGCTCGGGTCGATTGTACATTCCAAAGGTCGATAAGGTATCATACCGCTGCAAGGGCACGGGGAATGCGTATTTATTTTGAACACTCTGTCCCTGCTGTACGGTGACCACCAATTCGTAGTAGGTCTCTGCGGTCCTGCTCGGAAGTTGTAATGATGCCGGCGGTATCCTCCTATTCGTCTCTTCGCCGCCTCGTCCAAATGGGATGAATAAAACAAATGGCAGATCCATGGCCATGACGTTTTCTGCCTCTCTCCCCGTCGCGCACCTATATAACAATAGTTCTTTTCCGACGACATCGGTGGTATCGCGTCGAGGTGTGCCAAGATGGCGTTTGGCTACATTTTCGGCGGCTGGGTGAATTGTTTCTCTTCGCTGTAGACATATTCGCACTAGGGAGATCGCAACAGGGGCGGAAAAGCCTGATGAGGGTCTAATTTCAACTTTTCCTTCGATGCGCGGCTACGTACGTTTGTTAGTCCGGTTAGGCAGTCAGATAGAGGGAATCGTCATCGCGTCGCTCTTAAGTCTTGGTAATCGGCGCCGCAATCCACCCCACATTGACAAGGCGGAGACAAACAATCAGATAAACACGGCAGAAAGAAAATGCGAAACTTACCAAGGTCGCGGATATTCCGGGGTAACCAACTAGAAAACTACTATTTGGAGGGCCAGAAACCCGGACGGAAGCCTGTACTCGTTCTGCCATTTTCTTGGTGCGCCTTGTCCAGACGGAGGTAGGAGGAAAAGGTTAAGATTCCGCGTCGGCTGGGCGCATCTATCCCTCATCGACGGCTACAAGCCGACGCCTTCTTGCGAAATGCGATATTGGTATAGTTCGGAATAAAATGTGGAGAGGGAGCATTACATGTCAGATTTTAGACGTTGTAATGTTTGGACTGAGAAGTGCGAGTCAAAATCTATGGCCGAGGCTGGTTGTCGTCGTAAGAAAATTGAATGAATAGCGACTAAATGCTGAGGTAGTGTTGCCTATCTATCGAGTAGATTGGGGAAGGAAATGTTACGAAAGGTGGGACGTAACAATTGGACTTTTTGGCTTGCTGGTTGCCGATGGAGACGAGTGGCTGAGGTACAGACGCGAAGAAGTTTGGCTGGCGGTATAGGTTAGGTAGGGCAAAGGGTCACAGCCCACTCGCTTTGATAGGAATCGGTCGGTGAAGGATAGTAAAGTAAAAGTAAGCCACGTAACTAAATCTCTCGAGTATTGGATATTAGGGTATTGGGTATTGAGTAATAGTTATTAGATAGGGAGGGGTGCCAATTCGGTTTCGAATGGATGTTGAAGTTGGGAGGTTTTTGTTGTAACTCCGCAGTTCGGGATCTTAGAAGTTTAGGACCTTGGACCTTTGGGTAACTTCAAAGCCGCTACACGCAAATAACGGGCAGCCGACAAGGTCAGAAAGTTCAACAACTTTGAGGAGGTATTAAGGTTCTTGGCGACATTCCATTTCTGTGAATCCGGGCAATCTACATTGACGAATTTAAGTAGACCCTTTTTCTCTTCTGTCCGTCCGTCTGTCTGTCTGTCTGTATCTCTCCTTGGTAGTCTTCTTGTTTCTTAAGGACAATGTTAACCCCCCACACGTTGTAAGCGGACAGGCCGAAGGAATATGTATTTCTTGGTGCAAGTACTAAATTCTAGTAGTGAAACTGTAGGATAAAGTCTTTTCAAGTCGGAGGTGATAAAAGAAAAGAAATCTGACAGACACCACCTGCCCTGCCCTGAAGGTTGGAAAGCTGAATGGGGAAATTAGCAGCTGTTGTACGTACCATTCAAGGTCCAAAAGCGAATGAGGATTTGGGGAAACCTTCCCACCATTCGAATCGAAAGCCAATAGCACACCGTTCCGATTAAGGCGGTTAGGTAGGTGCGGTGGACCTGGTATTGTACCTATGGGATCCATTGGTACGGCGTCAAAGATACTTTGTGTTGTACCTCATACAGTACACGCTATCCATTTTTAAGGCATATTTCAGTCCACCAACACCTGCCTTACCGGTCAACCAGGCAGCTAGGTTCTTCGACTATCCTTGTGTACCTAGGTACATATAACGAATCAGCTGAATCGATTGAATGTGAGTTACTTGTTCATTTCTACCTTTACTATTTTCATAATTCTCTCACCTTTGATACGTATGTGTATGTCATCACAGGTACTTGCAGTTGTTGAGAAAATGTCCGTTTCTAAGGTTTCAAGAATTCCGTTATCAATGACGACACAAGCAAGCTAACGAACATTCACGAAATGTTGAAATACCACCTTTGGACTTCCACTTACTCGCATAGGTGTTTGTGTTCTACCGGCTAGATAGCAGGACATCATATGCCTAACCAACACCATCAAGGCGATATGTCAATACAACGTCATAATAGTAAACAATATATACCTTATGTTCCTAGGTACTCGCTTCAACGTTGTCTATATCGACACAGATATAGCTTAGTAACATAAAGAGAGGGAAAAGGGGTAGACTGCACAATCACACGTGTAAATGCAACTTCGGATGAGTGAGACGAGTCTTCCTTTGCGTGGAAGTTTTCCAGTCTTAAAACCTGTACTTTCAAGGGCTTACATATGTAGATTGTACAGAACAATTGAAGGGTTCTTGAGTTTGGGGGCCGAAGTAGGAGCATGAACCTGGCGGCCCGGATGAGGCTGACGATCCTAAAGCCCGCCCCTGGTTAGTAAC